GAACGGTCGGACAGCAGGGGAACCCAGTCTGGCAATGTCCCTGCGTCTCCCTTGGACCCTTCACGATCGCATCTGCCAAATCTCCGACTTGACACATCGTTGGGCGATGGCGATGCGCGATCCCGACAGGCGGCTTGTTCGCCTCAGCGTGATAGATCGGACTGGAAACCCCCTCTGATGCAAAATCCTCAGGATGCTGATTTCCTGAGGGCGTTGCCTTCAAGCGGCAGCGGCTCTCGATTATCGTTTCGTGGCGATGCCGAGGCGAGTTCGTTCGCACAACGTGTCCGCGACAAGATGCAAGCGGAAGAAGGTCGTGCATTGCATCATCGGTATGAGGAAGATACATTGTCTCCTGGAGCTGAAGACGATGATATCTCGCCTCCACCCAGCCCTCCTAGCCCTTCTAGCCCGGAACCGCCCATAAAAGCTTACAATCCCGAATATGCCAACGAAACAGCCACAACGGCGGGACTTCCGCATGCGCCATCCATTTCTTTGTCGATGAAGTCTATTGTTGATTCGATTCGGAATCCCCCAAGCCCCTCAACACAACGCGCACCGGCGAATCTCACTCCAATTGACCCACGAATGCCCACGAATCTCACCCCAGGTAGCCCCGGCAAGGCTTCACCGACACAGGCCAAACCGCCACCCCAGGACCTTCCCGCATCAAACCGGACATCACCTCCCAGTCGCGAAGTCAAAGAGCCGCCGCGCAGCGCCCAACCCGCCAAATTCTCTCTTCGGAATATTGCCAACCAAGTTGGTAATACGGCATTTTCTGAATTCAAAGAGTACAATGCACGATATGAGAGTTCCATTAAACTCGCAGCAGAGGATGTTAAGCCATTGGTAGAAACATCGTTAGCAGAATGGATTCGGGCAGCGGTCTGGTGGTTTTTGCGCGGAAAGACACGATTGGAAGCATATGCCCGTTCCCGTTCGACATCTCCACCTACTCACGTCAAGCAAGCTGTGATTGATCTTGGAAAGGCATTATGGATAAATGAAAATATTGTGCCCAGCCATCATGAACTCTCTCGATATGGTGCGATGGGCGTTGACGCCCTACTAGCCGTTGTGAGTACCACCGGCGACAATGAGTTGGCTGATCTTCTGGGTATACATCAAACTCTCACCAATCACCTGCGATCGCTGTCCATGTCCATCAAACGAAATAACATCCTCGTCGTGGTTGTCTCAGACGAAGGCTCTCCCAGCCAGGTGGATACTAGTATTTGGCTGCGTTACCCTTTCTATGCGCCCGACGTCTCAGCAGTCTTATCTGGCGCGGCAACGAGATCAATGCTGGTAGATACCGCAGGCAAGACTCCAGGTTTGGTCCACATGATGCCTTTGGGTGACACAAGTCGATACTTCAGCTATGGTAGCATGTTCGTGCAGGTTTGCGTCAGCTCCAGCGATGATGATGGGCAGCAACAATATGCCATGCCCTGCGCATTGACCATCGTTCGCGAACGAGCGGATTGGTATGTTTTTGCGGCAATCACCAGCCAAAGTCAACTTGTCAACATTTTGATTCAGTCCGATCGCAAGCAGGGACCGACTTGGGAGGATGTGGATTGGCAAGTCCGGTCTCATTCTATGCGAGTGAAGCTCCCCCGAGGATTCGAGTTGGATGTAATGTTCAAGGAAGAAGATTTCAAGACCCTTTGGAATATCGTCAAATACACCCAGAAGTCGGAGAACAGCCTCCATCCGGAGGCAGGCGAGACTGTGGTATTTGAGAATACTCTCAAGGTTTTCCAATATATGGATCCCGGCACACCAAAGGCGTTCCCTTCAGAACCCACAGAAAGATGCCGAGTTCGTTTGTTCGAGCGATCTGTCACCGTGACCGAAGGCACTGGTACTCGCAATGCGCATCGGGGATTCCGACTAGCTGTCCTGACTAGCCCGAAGGTCAAGACTTTGAGTAGCATTCGCCATATTTTGGGCAACGGGTCACCGATAGTGTTCGGTCTCTTGCGAGGAGAGGACGGTGCTCCGGCTCTTCTCCTCAAAGTGACTGAAGACGGCCGTACTAGATCCATGTTGATGACTTTCCATGAGGTGGCTGAGCGTACGGAAATCCATTCCGTGCTGCTCGGCATGATTCCGCGAGAGGGAGAACTCAAGTCGCCCGAATTTGCCATCAACTCCTATTGCATTGAGCAGCCCGAAGATGCATTCACTGGCCAGCCCGCGGTCAAATACCTCCAGTTCCCCGCCGGAAGTGTCTCTGTCATTGATCAGGAGCATGCTTACGTCGAACATGGTTATGGACCGACGATTCTATCGGAACATTTGAGGGCCTTTGTAGCTACTGAATGGGGTTCTGTCACGGATCGTATCAACTTGGGTAGGATTTTTCTATCTCCTTGTCTCGCTTCTGTTGCTAATTTTGTTCAGGACCTGGTGAATTGAAAATTGGCTTGGACGTTCAGAGCAAGACGAGCATGAGCTTGTTCCGCTCCGCGCAGCAGGATATGACCCTTTCGCTTGCGGATAACCTCATTCGCCCTGAACTGGCAGGGCAATTAACCGGCTTCCTTGAGAAGATTACGGCTAAGCCTATGATCCGCCGACTGGAATTCCCCACCATGCAGGGTATGTCTACTTCTGATAATTTGGTGGCTTTGCTAATCCCATTGTAGATCTTCATGCCTTTGAGACAGCTGTCACTGGCTTCCAAGTGCTTTACGATGGGTGAGTCTATCATATCCAACCTTCTGGTCAGGATCTTGCTGACCAAACTAGTATGGCTACATCGTTCACCATCTCCCGCCGACGGAGTATGGTTCCCATTTACAAGAAATGGGAAGCATCCCTGGCACGAGTCCAGATTGTTCGACAAGAGAAAGTCGTTCAAATGCTTGCTTTCTTCGGGGACTTCCAGCATGGCACATGTATGAACTTTATTCTTAAGGGTACCGATATTATGGAGTCGTTCGGCCGGTCCGGCAAGTTCGGCATTCGTATGGTAGATGCCAAGTTCGCACTGCCTAAGAAGGACGATGATCCAGCTTCCAACTTTGTGTGCCTTGACATGCCCGAGTATCCCATCGAACACGACGATCTCACTGTTACGTTTGATACAGAGGCTTGTTAGTTATACCTCCCTGTCTTGTGCTGTTCTCTCGCTAACCTTCTTCGACAGCACGCGCAAGCTTTAAGGCAGCTCTTCCTGGATTAGTGCGGGAACCATCTCGCATGGGCTCCATCCGTCGATAATTCCATTTGTTCTCCATCTCCTCTCTTCTCCCCGTGATTTCTTAATACGTGATATGACTCATTGCGTGATTTCCCAGCACGTGACATGACTCATTGCATGATTTCCCCCCTCCCGAGATCGGATCCTGCATCTTCTGGTGTATAATAACTTGCTTGACGGGCCCTTTCTGTGCATACAATTCAAGAACCAAACATATCATTTTTTATCATGTCTCATTCTAGCGAAGCCATTGGCGCCTCTACGCGCTCCCTGCATGCCGATGATGCCTTGAATCTCGTTACTGATGTCGCTCCTCCTATGCATCTCTCTACTACATTTCGTTATTCCAATGATCCAACCCACCTAGTACCGGCTGCCGATGCCACCCCTGTATGCACTTTGACTCGGTATTGTATGTCTCATCGCCTAACACATGGTCAATGTAGGCCGATTTTGACCCAAAATCCCATATCTACTCACGCATGTCCGCACCGAACCCTACTCGCTTCGAAACAATCCTCTCCTCCCTCCTACACGGTCAAGTTATAAGCTACTCCACCGGCCTATCGGCCCTGCACGGCGCCCTCACCCTCCTCAACCCCCGCCGCATCTCCGTCGGGGATGGCTACCACGGCTGCCACGGCGTCATCGCCCTCTTCACCCGCCTAACAGGCCTACAAAAGCTCCCCCTCGACTGCTTACCCGAGGAACTCGAAAAAGGAGATGTAATCCTTCTCGAAACGCCCGTCAACCCCCAAGGCACCGCCTTTGATATTGCATCCTACGCCGCTAAAGCTCACGCCCGCGGCGCATACCTTATCGTCGATAGCACCTTCGCCCCACCAGGCCTCCAAGAGCCATTCCAGTTCGGCGCCGATATCATCATGCACTCAGGTACTAAATACTTCGGCGGCCATAGCGATATGCTATGCGGCGTCCTCGCCACGAACCGCGATGACTGGGCCGCACAGTTGAAAACCGACCGTCTCTTTATCGGAACCGTCATGGGTAGCATGGAGGGCTGGCTCGGTGTTCGCAGTCTGCGCACATTGGAGATTCGCGTGCAGCGCCAGAGCGAGAATGCTGCCCATCTCATTTCCTGGCTTGATACTGCCCTGCATGCGCCTAACCCCGCGCCTGATAGCGATGAGGCGGCTGTGCAAGCTGTTCTCGGTGAAGTCCTCCATGCCAGTCTACAGAAGGTCGAGGGTGACTGGTTGAAGAAGCAGATGCCTAATGGGTTCGGGCCTGTTTTCTCTATTATTATGAAGGAGATGCGCTTTGCTCGTGAGTTACCGAGTAAATTGCATTTCTTCCAGCATGCTACTAGTCTGGGTGGAGTTGAGACGCTTATTGAGTGGAGGACTATGACGGATGCGACGGTTGATCGGAATTTGTTGAGGATTAGTATTGGATTGGAGAACTGGGAGGATTTGAAGGCCGATATGGCGAGGGCATTCCGTGAGCTTGCGAAGTAGATAGTTTTGAAATAGTGTAAACTACAATAGAATGCATGCCCAGCGGGATACTGGCTGTTACTTACAGATCTAACTTGAAGTATACCATAGTCACTAGTCTACGTCGTATACTTCGTATATAACCTGCCTTTTAAAGTAATTTACCCCGCATTGGGCAATTCCATTGGTCATCCAATCTGCTCTTATCTAACTTCCCGAGGTTCTTCTTACACCTCCAGGGCTTCAACTTTCAACTTTCAACCTTCAATTACATTCTCCTCTCCCACTGTCATTTCAGTAAATTACCTTCCTCAACTATATCCATCATGCCGGAAACATTCACAGTCCACTACTTCGCAACGGCATCCCAATACACCTCCAAAAACACAGAATTGCTCCCCGCGCCCTTGAAACTATCCGCTCTGTTTGGCGAACTCGAGCAGCAATATCCTGGCATTGTTCACAAGGTCCTGTCCACTTGTGGTGTTAGTTTAAATGGGGAGTATGTTGATATCGAGGAGGATGGGGAGATTCTTATCCAGGCAGGGGGTGAGGTGGCTGTTATTCCGCCTGTGAGTTCGGGGTAGATTTTAGAGGTTTTCCATTAAATGCATCTATTGATGTTGGATGTACTCTATGAATCTTGATTTGGTTTGATTTCATCTGAAATGGACTATTAATGCATGCGTTATAAGAATTATCATGAAGAAAGACATAAGAAAGCAATTGATCCAACTCGTTCATCCCATAACCTTCCCAGACCCCGATATATAACCTCATAAACTACCCGATCCATTACTCCAAACTCTTCACAGCAAGAGCTTTCTTCTTCTGCAGCCACAGGCAGACATTGCAAATAACAGAGAAGAAAAATAGAATACTAAAACCAAAACCAAAAGTCAGTAAAATCCTAACATCAAACCTAAGAATGAGGATCAGAACTCACCAAAGCCCAATACTCAACCCCCAAATAGCCTTCGTCTCGATGCAAATCGCCTTCGAAGCCCCAATCCACGAAACATAGTCAATCTTCCCACTAACACTAGCAATATAACTCGAAAGTCTTGACACAAACGCATACGACGTGGCATCCTTATCGCCCAGCTCCGCCAGCGTCGTACACTTCAAGTACGAGAGAGGCTTGCCGACAATGACAGCGACGACAATCAGCGCAATCAGCAGTAGCATGTCGAGCACTGCACAGGGTAGGAATGGAAGTATATCGTCTGTGTAGAGGATTGCGGTGATTATGCAGTAGATTGCCGCGATGCAGGTCTGTGGGTGGAATTGTTACTGGGTTTGAACTTTTTTGGAGAGGGGATGGGTTGAAGGAAGTATTTAGATGTGTATGAGAGGAGACTTGGTCTTACCACGCTGATTGTTCCAATTAGGATGTCTGGTGGTGTGGCGTTGTTATTTATTATCACGCTGATGAATTTGCCTACCATGCCGATTATGGCGATTAGAGAACAGGCTTGGAAGAGGCGGGAGAGTTGGAAGGTTGCGCCGAGGGCGCCGTAGCGGGGAGCCATTTTGGATTGAAATGAATTGAAGTAACGAATGGGCTTGGAGGGTCAATTGTCCGGGCTGGTTGGGTATACGCTGATGTATCGAGTTGAGGACGAATCGAGGACAGTACTCAAGCAAGCAATGGTGCAGTAGATATATGTGAAATGAAAGGCTTTGAAATATTAGAAGAAAGACTGGAAGAAAGTAGAATGAACCCAAGAACAAAGGGACTGAAAGAAAGTGAAGCTGATTGTCAGAATTGAAGACCGGGCTGGTTCCGGTTCTTTATGTAGACATTAACAAAGGTCTCTCAATGGCATCAATTGTCCGAAGTCTAGACCGAATTAAATTAGTATCAGATTTAGAATCTAGACTCTCCCTAAGCCGGGCTATGCCTTTGTGTGTTACAGATTGGAGAAGCGCCGTACCCAATTGGGTGACCTGGCTTTCATTGAGCTCTCTGTCGCATATAGCGATCGGCATGAATAATAGTTTAAGATGGTATGGGAGCTCATAGCTCTTTGCTAAAGACAACATTCCATTGGAAGAATAAGTACAATAATATAATAATATACAATATAGCTCCGCTTGACGAGTCCACCATGGCGCTTGGAGGAAAACCCTAACTCGCCGCGGGTCGCTCTCAGCCACTCGTTCCCTTGGCGTCTGCAAATCTGAAGCAGGCGCCTAATTTTGATCTAATTATTGACTAGGATGGCAAATGCACAGTAGATCAAGTTTCAGGGCATTGCATCTTGACTCAATGATCAGCAAGGGTTTATTTTTCCAATTGGAGCCGCTTGGTAGGTATTTTGGTAACCGGAAGCTCATACAAAATATATTATGGACGGATCGCCGACGCATCTACTTGCCAACACATTTCTCTTGAGTCATAATTAAAAACAATTGATTAAGTCTTCGTAAATACAATTATAGATGAGATAAATATATCCAATGCCTAGTCCCTCAATCTCCAGCCTCCACTGGTCCGCTTCTGGAAGAACCCTTGGGGATCATACGCCTTCCTCGTCTTTAGAGCAAGCGCCTTTGACTCGGGGCTAATGCGGCCCCAGTAATCCTGGCGGTAGTATGCGTCATTCATAAACAATGGACGATAAACGTCGGGAAGAAGACCTTTGTCGATGTTCTTCTGGACCAAGTTGTCCATTCCCTGGTAGAGTTCGACCGTGGCTGCGTCGATTTTGCTGTCGTCGACGGATAGGCCGTAAGAGAAGTCGAGCTCAATGATAATGTACGGTTGATCGGAAGGAATGTCGAGGAGGTCCTGGGGATTTGTTAGTAATATGATCTCTCTTTTCTTTCATTGGGAATGGAATGCTTACTCCACCGCGATCCTTGGCCTTCTGTGAGAATGTCTTGGGCATGGGCTGGAAGGCAATTGAACCTATTATCCCGGCCACTCCTAGTACGGACCCAGTCACGTCGCGGAAATGATCATAGTACTCCTGGAGCGGGGCCGCTCCCACAGTTTTGTTAGGGAGGGGTGTGGTCTCGGTGGCGATGATGTAGCGTTGTCCCCTATTAACTAGTTAGCAAGCGCCAAGCGTTGGGACTTGCATGTTTTACTTAAGAATGAATAAGTCATTATGCTTGAGCAGATCGTAGTAGCTGTCATAGGTCTTGGCCGTTGAGGTGTGTTTAATAGCAGTGAACTCGTCGAAGACTCCAGAGGGGGGCTCGGGACCGTCGTAAAAGAGGAACAAAATACAGAGGTCAAGCAAGAGACTGCGCTCAAAGGTTACGATTATTGCCGCCTTGTCGTCGGGATACTCGTCAGTGAAGTTGCGCACTGCCGTAAGTATCTCGGGGGCTTTGTCGGCTGTGAAAACATAGTTGCCACCCCAGACCTTGTGATCTTGAGGATGCGTCTGCATGGTGTATGCAGTAACAACTCCGAAGTTGTTGCCGCCTCCCTTCAAGCTTTTGAAGAGATCTATCGAGTGTTAGTGTTTCCACGATTATATGATTGGTATAGTATCACTCACCTGGGTTTTCGCTTTCGGTTGCGTGGACAATAGTACCATTGGCAAGGACAACTTCGTAGTCCAAGACATTGTTCGCAGCCCAGCCGTACTGGGTACTCAGGAAACTCATACCACCTATGAATCATTAGTGATCAACTCCACGTTGATTGCAGAATCACATACCTCCGAGCATATATCCACCAACTCCGACTCCTCCCATTCGACCTCCAACAATAGTCCGACCAGTTCCCTCAAGACCTTTCTGGGCCTCTTCCCATGAAAGCCCAGGGCCGATGATAGCAGTGTGATCCTCGGGATTATAGTCAACCTGATCTAAATTCTTGGTCGAAACCAACAATCCGTCCTGAATACTAGCAAATCCATTGTTGGGATTATGTCCTCCGCTCTTGATGGCACTGATGAGGGTTAGCCGACATCATTGCTGAGAGTGTAAGGGGAGAACAAACAAGAGAGTATCCACATTATGCAAGTTCTTGATAACCTGCGCCATCTCCGCTGCACTGGAAGGGGCTGCAATGCATGTTGGCTTGAGATCACCGCATGCCGTGGACCAATACTCGGTCAGATCGGAATTGTAGGCCAAGGAAATACGGTTTTCGATCTCAATGCCGCCGGCCTTGAGTGTCGCACAGATATCTGCCATTGCCTGAGGGACAAGAGCCAGAGACAGCGCTACAGCGCGCCATCCGTTACTTGAGGGCATTTTATCAATGGAAAGTAGACAGTATAATAAATGTAATCATCCAAAAATATATAAGAGAAGAGAATATGGTCCAATGGAGGAACTGGAAATAGATGACCAAGAGTTAGAATGTATGCCCTAACATACGGTGCGGGCCCATGGATTCATTTTATATAGCCCTTCAATAGCTTCGGCTTGGAAGACTCCATAATCGGAGGATATTCCCCAAGCCACTGAACGCACTTCTCTTGGATAGTGGGCCCGGCAGGAACGGAAGCCAAGCCACAAGAGCTAAAAGAAGAATCATCTGCAGAAGCACCGTTCAGGGACTCTGTTCCATGCAGACCGGGGTCGGACTAGGTACGCGATCCTCGATTGGGCAGGTGCTCCTGCTTATTGACTCTGGAAGAGCTCACACATCGATCAACAATTTGTGACAAGTTCGTGATCGTGCTTGATGGACGCATTTGGCTGGTAGTTCGCTGCTGCACACTCCACATATGGAGTAAAAGCACATGGCAGCAGAACGGGAAAAAGCAAAACCTCGGATGCTCTATGCATGCCTATGTTGGACAGCTCATTCGAGTCAATGTCCAGGCTCGGATTGAACGTCGCTTAGCCGAATGCCTTTTTTGTGCTGATCTCGACATGTACTCCGTACGGAGTACTCGGCACAGAGTACAAGGATCATGTATTTGGGCACCTATTTTCATGCTAGACAGGACTAGGACGTGCAGCAGTGGATCTAAATCGGTCAATTTCCGTGTCAATCGGCTAAACTTGCTGAAAGTGAGTTTACCACATATAAATTGAGTGGGAGGGCAATAACCTTGTGTGAATTCTCGGCCCCAGTGATCGACAGGTCACCCCTGAGAGCTCTACTTTGTCCAAACAGATACGGAGTATTAAGTGTTGGCGTGCCACTAAAGTCAATCGCTATCCCTGAACGAACGGGGCTTCACTAGTTGGAATTTAGTGGCACTAACCCAATGAGCTACACCAGATAGGACAAAGTACAAAGTACATGATTGGTTGACATTCATAAAAATCGAGAAAACAAGACCGATCAAGTGAGACAAAAAAAAAGATCAACAAGTGGAACTTCTCCCGGCTTTAACCCACCAAAACTTGCGGGGGATTGCCCCTGACATGCTGAATCCTGATGCTGCGCCAGGTCTCGCTTAAACAAATTGGGAAATGATACTCGCGACCTATCAAGTTTTTTTTATAGACTTTTGCTCTGTCAATAACCCTATTTGACTCATATGAAGTATACAGTTCGCTCCGAACCGAGGCAAATCTATTCCAAGGGGTCACGGGGAGTACGGAATAAACGATAACGAAGACGTTTCCCACGCTAATTAGCAATCTTCGTCAACATTTTCGGTGAGAGGAAATGTAATTGGAGATGGCGGGGAATTTGGATCGACACAGTTGGTGAAATGACCTGTTTATGAGGTTGGAGAGGTCGGGCATTGGTACTTCGGAGCAAGAGAGCAGGGTACGGAGGTATGTCTATGGATTTATGTATGAATCCCGGAGAAGCTAGTCCGATAGGCTGAATCAAGAGCATGGGTCCACGCACGAGTCAACTCACTGATGTCTCAGTATACTTTTTTCTTGAAAAGTGCCGACGCAGCTTCGGAGCTTACGGGATTGCAATAGTTCGAACTCTGGCCTCAAATTTCGATGGAAAACGATAGACCGCACTTTCATGGTTCGTATTCACACAAATTAAAACCAAGGGGACCTTTACCCTTTTGCTCTGCTGGAGATCTCTGTTCTCTATGAGTAGTCCCCCTTAGGCAACCTACGTTGTTGTTTAACGGATTTGCCGGCCCAAGAAAGGCCTTAACGCCAGAAGATAGGCAGTACAGCCTAGGTCTGCTCTAGAACAAGTAAAAAAACGATTGAAGATGGTTATATTTCACTCGTGTCGAAGCTCTCACCCTTTTTCTTAGCAGAACAGACCTTGTCTCTCATCTCATGATGCTCGCCATTTCACTAGTTTATGGTTTGCGGTTGTTCAAGTCATCCTCACCGGACGTGCAAGCTATGATGTCTATTACCCAGTGTGCGGACTGACGACATTACTCAGAGCCCTAACGACCAAATGTTTAAGGGCCTTTTAAAAGGCACAAGGCATTACTAGCTTGTCTTATTTTGAGCTCCAAATGCGTGTAGCCTTGGCGATTCTCTGAGGGCTGACATATACTAACATACTATGACTATCCCTAGTGTTATTTGTGACTTGAATGGATTGCTTGACATGATTGATATTGATGTTATGACTTTGAGGCCCATTGACGATGATTATTCTAGTGAGGGAAGCTTT